ATGGTCAATAATAAACCACAAAGTTAATTGATATTATTTCAGTGACGCGTGTAGACAAAACAATTTGAGATATTTTATATATTTATATTATATTTGGTCTGTATCCTACATGCATATAACATCAAATATTAATACTTTTGGGAAACGGAATACTCTAAAAGGCAGATGGAGTGGTAAATGTCAAAATTTTAACTGGAAAATGGATGCTCTTGCCTCTTGGAATTGTCGATTAGACGATTACTGTTGTATAATTTAGTGGACATGATATTGAAACTGCATGGTTTGTATACACTGACAATTTTGAGATCTTTCAGCAAAGAACAAACTTCAAATTTACAATCCCATGTGTTTTTACGCTGTATGTTACTCGTTGGCCAGAAATATCTCAGGGATTTGTTGAGTACATGTACAGCATGTAAACTATGTAAACTGCTTTAAAGATGCGGTACAGTCCGATCTGCGCATGTGCACAAAGGAGCCCTCTTTTTATTTACAAACAGTTTATTTAGGTTTTTATTTCATTTTATGTTCTTGCAAAGCTTGATTGTTGTCTCTTGATAATTTATTATACTCTAGAATCATGAAAATATAAATAGTTGTGGAATAAAATTCAATATTTTGGATACTGAAATGTAAACAAAGCCTTTGTTTACATACGGACTGTACCGCATGACCGCATCTTTAATAGTGCTGACTGTGCTGTAACACAAATTTGCAAGCAACTATTGTGCAAGTTGACCAAATGTAAGAAGTGTTTATATGCATTAATTATAAATCAAACAAAGTTATACAATTTATATTGTTGCTGTATTATGTTAGATGTTACGCTCAAGATTATTATTCTACTGCATTACTGTATGGTATTAATCAGCCTGCTATCCAGCTGACTAAAATTTTAGACAGCCATCTAAAAATTTGGATTTCACTTGAAAATTGACAAAAAAACATGCCTATACGCCACCAAAAGAGATACACCTCCATGTAAATAATACAGGAATCGATCCAGCATGATCTGGTAGGGGCGCTGCTCTGCCAGCTCTGATGCAGAGTTGTGTCGATCATGTGTGTGCCGCTCACCCATCAACATACTGTATTTTAATTGTAATTGTTGTTCACAGTTTGCTTATCATCATGTTATTGCTTAAATTACTGTATCTCATTTTATCGCTATTATTTTTTGCTTTATCATGAAAAAAATCACCCCCTGCACCCCTCTTGTCAGGACTTGGAGGGTTCACCCC